AAGAATTGGACTCAATGACGGTACAGCTCTTCTAATAGCCGCCCAGACCAAGGAGTGAGCATGAACTCATACACACGAAGGTCCTGCTACGGAGCCAGAAGCAAAGTGCAGAATGTGCTGAGTGAATGATGAGACCGCGACCCATAAAATCTCCAATTGCAAAACGCTTGAGAAAAGAGAATCTACAGAAAAGCGTAACCATGTTGTGAGGATAGTGTATTGGCATACCTGTGAGTGAGCCGACTTACCAATGGTAAAAAACAGCAAAAACATCAGCTGAAAGAGGTAGAAATGACACTGCAAGTACCCTTAGGCTTGCCAATATGAACTTAGGAACAAATATCAGCTCGCCGTTCAGCTATCATTTTGCTGGGCAAAGCGAAAAGACAGTAGGAAATCAATGATATGGCATGTCTGGTTAACGAGAGGGGTTTTGTTAAGGGGAGAGGCAAAATACTTCAACATCAATAGTCGAAGATGAAAACAGAAAATAGCTGGTGAGGCAAAATTCATTCCTGTGGTGAACATGTTCCTATTAATAGAAAAACGAAGAAAAAGAAAATATACTAAGTATACCGCATTACGTACAAATACAGTGTATTAATTAACGTAAATGGCAGCCACGAATAAATGACAGAAACACGATTATCTACGCTATTCATTGTTACACTTGTGTTCTTGTTTTTTCATCCCAGTGTTACAGTAATGTTAATCAGTCATTCACAGCAGGGTACTGATACGAATTTAAGAGGTTGCTGAAGGATACAAATCAGATACTCTCGTCCGTTCGCTTTATCTTCTAATGCAAATTAACAAGCAAACCAAAGCTTGAAAATTTTCCATCAGAAAACTCGTACCTCTCTCCAAGCGCGATGTCGAGTACAACGCCAACAATGTCCACTTGTCCCATGACAGGCACGCAAGTTCCGTTCTTCAGATCGTCGAAAGTGGTCACTGAACGTGGGATGTAAACCTGTGGTGGCGGTTGTACTTTGATGGGCAGCTCTTCGACGAACGAACTTGACGTTGTAGACAGCTCAGAAGAATTTCTGATAAAAACAGCACACAGTTTCGAGTTAAAACTTCGGCACAATTTTGTACCTCACACAAGTCAGTTGCATTTTGTGGAAACGAAACTTCTTGCCTTCTTGCAGTTTCGAAACTAGGTTTTCCATATCCGGTCGCCAAACGACCAGGTTAGCAGCTGTAAATAGGCCTTGTTGGAACTCAATGAATATTTAGCAATTATAACTTTAAATCGACAAAAATTGTTTTCAGAAATTTATCTTCAAACGCTAACGAGTAGATTTCAATTCAGGAAGTAGAAAATTCACCTCTAACTTGCAGAAATATTGCCATTTATGGCACCCTCTTTTCAAAGAGCCAATCGGACGAAGCTAATCCTAATTGCAGGATCATCATTCAGAAGTGCTCGGTTGCATTTTAAATGGCTATTACTACTAGAAGGCAACGTATATAAAACGTGACTTGAACGGGATACGATCTGACTATTTTCTACTACTGCTAATCACAGGTCCACTGACTCAACAATTCTGGTTCATTGCAGATATCACTCATTTAAATCTGCCTATACGCTGCAATCACCTCTAAATTCTGATGAATGTAAAGAACGACGAACGCCAAGGAAACCCCACATGAGAGGTTTTCCAAATCATTACAATAATAACTAATGATAAAACTTTTAATTATACTTTTTACTAACTGAATTACAGTTATTTATTCTAATTATTATGCTCAACTAAAACGACTTAAATGATACATTAACATTATTGTCACTGCTGATGGCTACGCCAGATCAGTGAGATTTTATTTTATCAAAATATACACTTAATGAGGTCCATTTAAATTTTCAAATTTTTCATATAAGAATAATAATTTTTGAAGTCGTAATAATTTTTAAGGTGCGCATTTATTTAACGAAAACAATTTAAAACCTGCTCCGCGTTCCTGGTCCACTGCTGAAGCCCCATGAACGAGAAACGTCAACAATGGAGTACATTTTGGCAGCGGATTGTCCTTGAGCACAGCAGCAACGGTCTGTTCGATTTCATTTCGCAGCGACTCCATCTTTTTCTCGTTCACTTTTGAGCATCGCCGTTCAACCCTCTTCATCTGACTCGCTGATATCAGCTCCTTAACCAATAACACTT